CGCGTGTGTCGCCGTGGGCTCCGCGGCCCCAGGCTAGCAGGGGCCAGTCTCTGACCCAGTGGCTACGCATGCCCCAGGCTAGTACAGCAGGCCACGGACACATCTAGGCCTTCTTTTCTTCTTTAAATTGTCTATAGAGCACGTGTGCTCACTGCAGAGAGAGACAGACTGAAGGAAGGTGAGAAAGCACCCGGGGCGGTGGCCACACCGCAGTCCTCTCCTCCAGTCTCTCAGGATTCTGGGTGTGCACACACGCACCTGGTGTGCTTTTCACACCTGAGTCGTGTGGGACCCAGCCACCTTAACCACCATGCTACCTCTGGCCCCAGGGTCATGTCAGCCATGTGGGATCCGGCTGCCCTCACGCCAGAATCTCTAGTCCTTTAGAAATGAAAGTTACCATCTCCTCTGAGGAGCTTGGCACCAGCTCCCTCACGCTTCTCTGGGCCAGGGCCCTCGCCTGAGCCTGGCCCTGCCCATCTTGCCTCCTGCCAACCTCAGCCCAAGCATTTCCTGGAACGACCTGGTGGACACGAAGGACGAGCAGCTCCGAGGGGCTGGGGGCCTGACTCGCCTCCCCTCCCCGGTCCTTGTCCCCGCCAAGGGCAGCGGAGCCTGACAGTGACTCCCCCAGCGAGCTGTGGGTGCCCTGGCCACTATGGCAGCTCCCCGTGGCACGGCGGCGTCCTGCTCAGGGGCCGATCGCTGCCCTAGTCTTACACCAGGGCGCCAGGCTCAGCCCGACGCCACAGGCAGTGAAGGGCCAGGAGGCTGGGGGCCCAGATGCTCTGGCCCAGGCCGCTGCCACTGCCTCGCCACACACACACTCATGCACACAGCTGCACACTCACGTGCGTGTACACACAGCATGTGTATGCATGTGTGCAAACGCACACGATGTGCACGCGTACATGCACGTGTGCATACACGCTGCCCCGGCGACAGGGCCCAGCTCTCGCTCACTTCCCCGTCAGCTCCTCTCCACCAGCCTGCCTTTGGGGAAATAGGGTGTTTGTCAGATGGAGAGTCACCATGAGTTTGCATTTTCATGGGGCTCTGGAAGCACGTGAGCCTGCCTTGGAGCCTGCATTGGGGACGCTGGCAAGCCTGGGGCCCAGAGGACAGCGTGGGGGGGGAGGGGAGACAAGGTGGGCCTGGGGCCAGGCTCCACTTGGACTTGGCTCAGGATCGGATTGACAGAAGCTCAGCTGGTGAGCACCCCTGGGGCCAGGTGCTCCAGGACTCACGTGAGGGTCCTGTTAGCAGCAGCCCCTGTGTGGTGCCCATGGGGTCGGTGACCTGGGAGGCAAAGGCCAGCCTTGCCACCAAGCCTGCCACCACCCGGTGAGAAGCGACAGCTTTGGGCCCACGTCCCTCCTACCTGAGTGGCAGGGCCAGGCCCTGCTCCCAGGCAGGCTCGGCTTCCTGTCTGCAGAACATAGGTCCTACTCCAGGTCCGTTCCCACGGTCTGTGACTATCACTCTGCCGGAAGGTGCACCCAAAGCCTGGCAAAGGTTATACATGCTGAGCGACAGAGACTGTAGGTGAGGGTGACACACCTGATGAAGGTGGCAGATCCTGGGCGAGAGGTGCCCCCAGGCATGACCTGAGACCCGAAGGCCTTGGCAGATCTTGGGGGCGTTCAAACTCTGTGTCAGGGGAGGCGGGAGTGCGTAGAGGCAGGCAGGCCGCAGCCTGCGGCCTGGAGGCCACCCGAGACCTCGGACACACCTCCTCAGGGCTGCCTGAGGTCCTGTGGGGCCCCGACTCCTGGCCGAGGCAGGCGCCATCCGCCTGGTGAGGGCCTAGAGAACACCCTGTGGCCTGGTCTTGGGCTGACCCTGTCCATCCACGACTCGGAGGCCCTGCCCCAAGCCTGACAGTATCGTCAACCCCCCTCCATCCATGACCCTGAGGCCACAGCTCCTAAACCCAGGCATGCCTGAACCAGCGGAACACAAGCCCCCTCCCTGACCTGGCTGGACGCGAAGGCTGGGTTAGGGTCTGTGGCATCCAGGCACCAAGCAGCCCCCCATCTGCTGCCACCCCTGCCTCACCTGGTTGCCCATTCTGGACTGAGGCCCTGGGACTCCCTGGGGCATCCAGCCTTAGCCCCACCAGTCCCTGTCCGGCCAACTGTGAAGGAGGCCATGCCTGAGACCAGGAGTGAGCCCAGTCCACAGCACCTTGCTGACGCCCCGGGTCCCAAGACAGGCTGGCACCTGCATCCCCGCAATGAGACGCCGCCATGCTCTGGCCACCGCGCGGCAGGGACACCAGGAGGCATGGAGGCTCCCTTTCTGGCCCACTCCACCCGTCCCCCGGGAGCGCATCCACCCCAGCGACACCCCACCTACTCCAGGAGGCCCAGGGCCTGCCCTGCAAGGATGGTGACCCCCAGGCTAGCATGGAGCCAGGAAGCCACCCCCAGGTCCAGGCTGCAGGGGTGAGGTTTGAGGTTACAGGGAAGGGGTGGGGAGTGGGGAAGGAGGGGAGTATGTGGAGTGGAGAGGGCATTGGAGGGAGTGTGGGTGGAGGGGGACCAGGCCAGGGGCACCCCAGGGCAAGGAGCTGGGGCCCGGAAGTACAGCTGCCTCTTGCACAAGCCGAGCTTCCCTCCGAGTTGCTGACTGCAGATATGGCAGGGGTGCTGACTCCGCTCGGGGGCCAGCGCTATTTCCAGGCCCTGGGGTCGGCTCCCATGACTGCGGTCTTGTCAATGTCCCTGGTCCTCTGTGGCCACTGGGGCTGACATTGCACACCCCCCATACACATCCCACCTCTACACAGACCTCAGACCCAGCCAGCCACAGGGTCGTGGCCCACTTGGGTAAGACCTGGACACCCACCTTCACATGGGATGATCGGGCGCACTCCCTGCTGTCCCCCTGGGGTGCTCAGGAGACCAAGTGCTGGGAGCCTTGATCTCTAGCCGTGAGGCTATATGGGGATTCTTTCAAGGAGCAGGTGCGTCAGGAGCAGCTAGGGCCTGGCTAGTGGGACCCAAATCTTCATCCACCTGGAAGCAGAACCCTACCCCCATCTTCAAAGGAGTAGGACACTGGGCCTGTAGATCCAGCTGCAGTCATGCGTGGCAGGAAACGGGGCTGAAGCAGCCCGAGACCAGCCCAGTGGCACCTGCAGGGGGACAATGGACGTGCCACACTCAAGGGCAGGGATGGAGGCTGGTGGGGGAGCCTCCATGGCCACCCCCAGGCCAACAGCAACTGCCCAGAATAAGTCCACGCTGGCCGGGCATGAGGCCTCATGGTTAGGGGAGCTGGACCTCACGTGGCCCACTGGCCGGTCCCTGCCCCAGGAGTCTGGAAACCGTTTGCACATCCCAGCAGGATGTGGGAGCAGGCTCCATGCGGCCGTGCTGCACAGGGGGTGTTTTCTCCTCCTCTCTGCCCCTCTGTGAGTACAGACACCCTCTGGCAAAATTGGAAAAGAAAATAAAAATAAACATTTGAGAGAGAAGAGAGACGTGAGCACATTTGGCTCCCTGATTTGTGAAGTCACAGTGAGGGACTGGGACTGGCACCCCACTGGAAACTGGAGGGGTTGAAGCCTGGGCTGGAGGGGAGGGGGGGCACGGGAGGGGCCCTCTGCTCAGTGCACCCCGAGCCGGGCAGCCTCGCCGCCCAGAACCTCGCTCCTGGCCACCTGCCCACTTTGCCCTGCCTCGCTCATGTCAGATGGGCCAGGTCCCCAAAGCCGTGGACACTGAACGAGGATTCTCGCCGGGGCCACCGCCCGGAAGTTCTCCAGGTCCGCTTAGTTCATCGCGGCCATCTCCGACCAGCGCCCTCAGTCTGCCCGTCTGTCAGCTGCCGGGCCTGCCTGTCACCTCCTCTCCATTTCTCTCTGTCCGTCTCTCTCCGCGTCGTCAGCCGTCTGTCCACATTACTCAGCTGTCCATCGTCTGTTCATCTCTATCCACCTCTCCATCTGCCACTTAACTGTGCCCCCGCCTGCCCGGATCTGTGTCCACCACCTGGCTCCTCCGCCACAGGCCGTCCTCCCGCCTGCCGCCTCTGCTCGTCTCTGTCACAGCCAGGTCAGAAAAAGCCTCTCCTGTGACCACGTTGCTGCTTCTCCGATGCGAGGCACCTCGGCCTGGACTCGCGACTCCCACCTGCCCGCCTCCCCGTGTGGCCCTCTGTGGCGCCCCTGTAACTGGTGGTTACCTACGTCTCCTCGGTCATCCGACCTCTGGGCCCCACATGGCACTGTGGGGCAAAGCCGTGTCCCAGGGTAGGGCAGGCCACAGAAGGGCGCAGGGCAGGGTTGGGCCAGAGAGGGCAGGTTAGGGTCCTAGGACCTCACGGGGTGGTCCCGCCTGCCTGGAGCTGCCTCGGTGCCGCGTGGCTCTTGGGTGCCAGCTCCCTGCCCCTCGATCTCTGTGCCAGTGCACAGGGCATGGACACACACCTGCTGTGTACTAGATGGCGCTGGGACACGCTGTGGGAGGTGACGCCGGGCAGGGCCCCTGGCTAGTGGCACAGGCCTGAACAAGGGGTGCCCCTCCTCTAACTCCAGAAGAGCCTCTTGGCCCTCAGAGACCCGGGGCAGGGCTCATTCTGGGGTGCCAGTGCTGGACGGGGCGGGCTCAGACACCAGCCCCTTGGGGACAGTCCACCAGCCTCACTGGTGTCTGCCTGCGTGGACAGCAATAGCAACCCAAGGCACTGAGGAGGCGTAACCCAGAGAGGGACCGTGACAGTGACCAGGGAAGGGTGGCTGCGAAGGCGTCCAGAGTGCGTCGGGCTGAGCTCGGCAGCCCTGCGGGGCTGGGAGGAAGCTCACGGCTGAGCCAGACCGGCCAGGAGTGGAGTCAGCATGGTGTGGACATGGCAAGAGACCAAGCTTGGGCTGGGGCCAGGGGTGGCCACTAGGGCAGACCTGGGGCTGCAGGACTGGACAGCACCTCCAGGTGCCCAGTGAAAGATCAGCCCCAGAGCCAGGGTGGGGGTCATGCCACTAGCTTCCGTTGGGAGGCCAAGGAAGGATGGTCTTGACATGGCAAGACCTTGTCCTTAAAACGCAGGAAAACCTGCCCCAACCACCGATCTTCGAAAGGGGGAAGCCATGTCCCCCCCAGGCCCCTGACCCTGAGTGTGCAGCCGCTTGATGGCCGGGTTGGCATAGCCATCTGGGTCACCCCTCAGCCTTATTGGGGACTTCCTCTCCTGGCCGAGGAGGAACTGGGCCACGTATTGGCCAACATCCGCCGTGGTCCGTGAGACTGGGCACGCAGGTGGAGCCCCGCCACGCAGCGGCTGGCCAGCCACACCGAGCCGCAGCACAGGACATGGGCATGGTTGCCAGCCCCTCCTGCTGGCAGCTGAGGCCCATGGAAAGCGTGTCCCGGGCCTGTGTACTCCTGACTCGGGGCACCCTGGGTTTCAGTCCGCATGACGACTGCTCTTCTACACTTGCTTATGGGACAGCCCTGATGCGGAGAGTGGAGCCATGGGCCTGGCTTCTGCAGCCGCGACCCGCTTTCAGCATTACTTCATCTGTTTTTCCACCTCCCCACCCCGCAGTGTGGTCTTAATTGCTGGAGGGTGCCTGCACCCCAATGAGGCCTCACCACAACCCCTTCTCCATTTCTCCACCCTGCGGGGACTTGGGACATGCACACACATGTGCCTGGTATGTTTTCCAAGCCTCTGGGGTCAGCCATGTGGGCTTCAGTTCCTTAACCACTAGGCTGGCCAGCCCTGGAGTATTCTACCCCGTCCCGCGCACACCCGCAGAAGAGGGAGTGACAAGCATGTGGGACAGGTCTGGTCATGCCCTGATCCCACCCTTCTGCCAGGTGCGTCCTGGGCACATGGGGAGCGGTTC